TCTGAATCAAGAATTGGATGAAGTCAAAGGTCGAATCCTAGGTCGTCGTCCACTGTCATCCACTTGAGAGGTGTTTGCGAAGGTGCATCGTGAGGAGGCTCGTCGACAGGTAATGTCGAAGAAGGCCTCTGGAGAAGTATCGGCCTTGGCTGGAAAGAAGGCTGGACCTCCATATGGTACAATGTCTGGGCCTAGACGTGGTAAGTTAATTGGGCCGACAGTTGGGCCAGAAACTGAGCATATTAATGGACCTTCAATTGGGAGTGGAATTTTTTTTTCAAAGGGATCTATATATGGGTCGACCCAAAAACAAAGGGGTCGTCCTTGGTGTGAGCATTGTCACAAGCCAGGCTATAAAATAAACACATGTTGGGAAATTAATGGGAAACCCAACGAGACGTGGTAAGTTAATTGGGCCGACAGTTGGGCCAGAAACTGAGCATATTAATGGACCTTCAATTGGGAGTGGAATTTTTTTTTTCAAAGGGATCTATATATGGGTCGACCCAAAAACAAAGGGGTCGTCCTTGGTGTGAGCATTGTCACAAGCCAGGCTATAAAATAAACACATGTTGGGAAATTAATGGGAAACCCAACGAATGGAAATCAAGACAATCCATGAGGAGCCAGAGTTATCAAGTTGAAACAAAAAACAATCCAGCCTCAGGTAGTGCATTTAATCCCGAGAAACTGGAGCAACTCTATCAAATGTTCTCAAAATTTCACACATCTGATCAGTCTTCCCCTAAAGGTCCCTCTAGCTCACTAGCCCACAAAGGTATCTTTCTTAAAGCATTAAATACTTCATGATATAAAAATGCTCGGATTATCGACTCTGGTGCATCCGATCACATGACGGACTCGTATCACCTATTCTCTTCATACTCTACTTGTCCCGGTAACATTCGAGTTAAAATTGCAGATGGCTCACTCTCATTTGTTGCATGAAAAGGGAATATTCAAATATCTGATTCCCTAACATTGGATTCGGTCCTTCATGTTCCAATTTTATCGTGTAACTGGTTATCTGTTAGTCAATTAGCAAAAAAATCCAATTGTTCTGCTAATTTCTTTCCATCATATTGTGTCTTTCAGGACCTTTTATCGGGGAAGACGATTGACAGTGCTAAGAAATGCGAGGGACTGTACTATTTCCACGAAGCTGATGTGAGTACACTAGGTCAAATTTCCAGTTGTAATTCTTCATCTACCTCTAAGGATAGTGAAATCTTGTTATGGCATAGTAGAATGGGTCACCCTGGCTTGCAATATTTAAAGCATGTTTGTCCTTCAATTTTCATGAATAAAACACCTATTGACTTTCAATGCGAAAATTGTGAATTTACAAAGCATCAGCGTACATCTTTTCCAAAATGTGAGTACAAACCATCTAAACCATTTGCTATGATTCATAGTGATCTATGGGGACCATCTCGCATTCCTAATCCTACCCAAACAAAGTGGTTTGTTACATTTATTGATGACCACACTCGGGTATGTTAGGTTTATTTATTGAAAGAAAAAACCAATGTTAGATCTATATTTATGAACTTCCATTCCATGATATTGACACAATTTCAAACACAACTTCAAATCTTCCGTACTGATAATGGCATAGAATATTTCAATGCTACTTTGCAAGATTACCTAAAGAAACATGGAATAGTCCATCAAAGCTCGAGTGTCCATACCCCCAACAAAATGGAATTGCTGAACAGAAAAATAGACACATACTAGAAGTAACTCATGCCTTAATGGTTACTATGAACATGCCAAAAACATATTCTGGGGGGATTCCATTTTAACATCTACCTATCTAATTAACCGGTTGCCTAGTAGCACGCTCTCCTTTGACTCACCCTTACAAAGCCTCCAAAAATACTTGCCTACTTCTCGCCTTAGTTCAAACCTACCTCTAAAAGTATTTGATAGGACTGTATTTGTACACATTCACTCCCAAAATCGAAACAAACTTGAACCACGTGCTATCAAATGTGTGTTTATTGGGTACTCACATACTCAAAAAGGGTACAAATGCTATGGCCCATATGGAAATAGAGTCATAGTTAGCCTTGATGTCAGTTTTTTCAAAAACACGCCTTACTTCCCGAAACCTTCTCTTCAGGGGGAGAACTCGAGTAAAGATCGGTTCTCAAATAAAGAGTTCCTAGACTTTGACCTTTCCCCAACTGACCTCACGTTCCCTAACCTTTCTAAGGTACCATATACAGAAGATAACTTGAATTCAGAGGGAGATGAAGGAAAACAAGGTGATAAAGAGATCCTAGTTTACTCAAGAAGGCCTAAATCGAAGTGTAAGGAAACTCTCATGCCTAAAGCACCAAAAGAGTCCGAACCAGTGAGAGGAACTGATGAAAATCCCTCCGATCCAAGTGATGATCTTTCAGAAAACAAACCCGATTATATACTCTACATTCTATTTCAAAATTCATGTCTTATAATGCTCTATCTGCAGAATTTCGTGTTTTTACTGCTAACCTTGATGAAAAAAAATTTCAAGAAATATTCAAAAAGCCTTGGAATCACCCAAATGGAGAGAGGCAGTGATGAAGAAAATGAAAGCCTTAAAGAAAAATGAAACATGGGAAGTGGTAAACCTGCCAAAAGGAAAGAAACATGTAGGGTACGAATGGGTTTTTAACGTGAAGTAAAAGGCAGATGGGATGATTGAACGCTACAAAGCTCATTTGGTTGCCAAAGGGTATACTCAAACCTATGGCATTGACTATACAGAAACATTCGGACCAGTGGCAAAACTAAATACAATCTGGGTTCTTCTGTCATTAGCAGTAAACCTAGATTGGCCACTTCAATAGTTAGACATTAAAAACGCATTTCTCAATGGGGAACTAGAAGAAAAAGTATTCATGACAATACCACCGGGCTTCAACGTGTCAAATGAGGAAAATCGAGTATGTAAGCTCAGGAAATCTTTATATGGGCTTAAACAGTGCCCTAGAACATGGTTCGATAGATTTGCAAAGGTATTGAAAACTCAAGAATATCAACAAGGGCAGTTAGATTATACAATGTTCTATCATCTATCCAGAGAATGAGCAAAGACTATCCTTATTGTATATGTGGATGATATTATCTTGACAGGGGACAACATAGCTGAAATGGAAAGACTAAAGAAGTGCCTAGCAGCTAAATTTGAAGTAAAAGACCTTGGACAAATGCGATACTTCTTGGGAATGGAGATTGTAAGATCAAAGAAAGGTATCAGTGTTTCCCAACGAAAATACGTTCTTGACCTGTTGGCCGAAACAGGCATGTTGGGATGTAAACCAGGTGATATACCTATTGAGGCAGCAAAAGTGACAAAGGACACTAGAAAACTCGTGGAAATGGACAGATATCAAAGACTAGTTGAAAAATTGATCTACCTCTCACACACTAGACCTGATATTGCTTTCGTAGTCAGTGTGGTCAATCAACATATGCACGCTCCCAAAGAGATTCATCTAAAAGCAGTTTATAAAATTCTTAGATACCTAACGGGAACCTCTGGGAACGGTCTATTCTTCGAGAAAAATAAGAGTAAAGGAGTAGAAATATTCACAGATGTAGATTGGGCTGGATCAACAGAAGATAGAAGGTCTACTACCGGCTGCTGCATTTTTGTATGGGAAAATATGACAACTTGGAGAAGTAAGAAACAAAATGTGGTAGCTAGAAGCTGTGCTGAGGCTGAATTCAGAGCTGTTGTACAAGGAATATATGAAGGACTTTAAATAAATAAACTCTTAGAAGAATTGAAAGCTGAAGTAGAATTTCCAATCAAACTCTATTGTGATAACAAAGCAGCTATTAACATTTCTCTCAACCTAGTATAACATGATAGAACTAAACATGTCGAAGTAGACAGACATTTCATCAAAGAAAATGTGGACAAAGGGATTATTTGTATGACATATACTCCTACAAAAGAACAAACAGCCGATATATTCACAAACAGATTGTCTAGACAAGCATTTCACGACTTTATCAGCAAGTTGAACACGATCAACATCTACAGTTCAACTTGAGAGGGAGTGTAGAAAGGGCTGAATATAATAAGGGAGAAGTTTTGGTAATTGGAATTAATTAGAGATTGTAATCTTTGTATTTTTTTGGTAGGACAATTTACTTCCAAATTTAGAAGATTAGTTTCTTTTTTCTCTTCCTTCACCCTATGTATATAAATCGATTGTAAATAACGTTGTGAATAATAAGAAAAGTGAGAATTTCCTCTTGCGCGTGCAACTTCTTCATACTCCATCACTCTCTGAGTTTCCATCCTCCTTTGATTCTCCAAAATGTTTTCTATTGGAATCTCGTTAAATATATGGTCTATTAATTGGAAAAAAGAGAATGGATACCTTTTGCAAGCCTTTTTCTAGAGGGAAGTGCCTGATCATAGACCATTCCACGGAGCATTCTTTGCTTCCTCACCCAACGTAATCTCACTAATGAACATCTCATCTTTCAATAGTATAAAATAACTTCTAAGGGATTTTCCTTTCCTTTGCATGATGCTACTTAACTTTATAAATGTTTATAGTATTTCGGGATTTGTTTGTTGGTAAGGAAGGTAGTCACTAGTTAAATTTGCTGTAAATTGATGCATCACATTCTTTGTGGTCGATAGGCCTTCTGGCATCTTGTGCGAATGAATATTATAGGAACTACTATAGTTCCTCGTCCTCTAATTCTTACACTGGTTACTCCTCGAAATCGTGAGAGTTTCCTAATTCACTACTTCGTTTATAAAAGATATGCTATTTTGCGATTTTTCCACTTTTCTGCCATACCATAAGCATGTGACACTGCAAATCGTTAGTGCCTCTGGGGAAAAATTTAGCATCAAACGCTAGTTTTTCTCCGATTTTCCTTTCATTGTCAGTTAGACTTTCGATTATCATACTTTGCACTTGCATATACATTTTTCGCCACCAACGCTTTTAGCTTTTCTGTCATTTCTTGGACTGCCTCTGTAGCATGCACTTCTCTTCCCTGAGGATGGGCATCGGAAGGGAAAAATATCAGCTTGGGATCCTGTCGGCATTTTCTCCTACTTCTTCTTTGGATTCATGTCACGTTTAACAGAATCATTTCTAGATTCTTCTGTTCTAGCTTTTAGTGTTTTGGCACATATCGGATTTGTTTCTATTACATTCATTTTTCTAGATCTTTAAGGCTTCTGAATTTGTGGATAGATTGGTGGTTTCCTTTGTTTAGTTTTTCCACAGACGGCACCAATTTATTGATGATATAAATCGGATCAACAAATCCTACTCATCTAGTTATAATTTTCGCTTCCTAAACTCATCAACTTAGATGCTCAAATAGGAGCAAGAAGTAAAATAACTACTTGAGATAGAGATATTTGAATTGCATGCTATCTTCTTCAAATGAGGGGATATTTATAGATTTTCTTCCAAGTTCTAATTAACTTGGTCATTTTAGAGGAATGACAAATGGCGATTTCTTATTGACTTATTGATAACTTAGTTTGTTTACAAGTGTTATGCTTTACGAGTGTGTTAATAGTACGTAGCCAAATTTGGGTAAAAGAAAGGCTCGCGTCTTATTAAGCGAACTCTTCATGCTATCTTTTCTTTTCATATGGTTACTACTTCGTGGGAAATACAATAGGGTTCCCAAAATTATGTTTGGGATTAATAGAAAGTATATATTCACAAGATTGAAACCATGACTCTTGGATGAGACACGACCGTTCACATTTGGTCTGAGTTGGAAATACGCTTGTCCAAAAGGAGGATATGTGACACTGGACTAAACATACACCACATATGGGATCTTGAAATCCCACAACTGGTTGAGCATTCGGAACTTGATTGGCTATTATCTCTTCTTCTCATTATTTCTTACTTCTCTTTGTGTCTTTCTTCATTATTTTAAGGTTCTTTCAATCTTATGATCTAACATTAAAAGCTTAGGATCTTTCAAACTTTACATATATCATCATGCAAACATCTTAAAACATTAAAGAATACAAGAAAGAATGAATATGATTATATTAGTGTAACCAAAAGCAAAAATGAACTTGACCTACTTACGAATTAATGATTTCAAATTATAACTCCAATAGCTGAACAATGGAGTCAAAAATTTGTTCAGTGAAATTTCACAAGTATACGAGATCTCTAATAAGTAATAGCTTAGGTTAGTTGAGAGCATCGTTCTCACGAAAAATAAACTTAAGTTTTAATTGTATCAACTCACAATCAAACACAATTGTTACCAAAATAATTTATTAAATGTATGTTTAGATGTTAACTACTAATAATTATTTTAATTTCTACCTAACTGCAGTTGAAGAAAGCTTTAAAAAAGATATATGTAAGAAAAAGTGTGTTAGGGTTTATCAATTAATCTCTCATTCCAATTCTTAAGTTATATCTTTTAGTCTAATTTATATATAAATTCATAATCAATAATCCTATTTTATTCAGCAATTTCCGTCGAACAAAGTTAAACCTATCTTTAAACACAATTTAAAATATTGCTATTCCAAATTCAAATTTTTAGATAATTCATAAGATTAAATAAATCATAAACAAATTTCATGATGTCTATTGAACCTTAAGTTGATTATGACAATATCCTAAACATTTTGAGAGAAAAAAAATTAGTCGCTTATTATCGAAATGGTGATCAAGCATCCAAATATTTCATATAAATAGCACAAATCTTACTTAAAAGAAATAGTCTTTTAATTTCTTTTAATTAATAACGGTAAATCAACCATTTACATCATAATCCCAATACTTTATGAGTTTAGCCTAACATGCTAAAAATAAAATTACAGTGAGATTTTTATTATTCATCACTCAAAAAGTATTGTTGCAAAGAGGTGAAAACTAATCAATTTACATTCCTTGAATTCTTTCAATTAAGTCATCAAGGGATTTTGAATTTTCCCTTGCTTTGGATCTTCAATTTCAAGCTTTAAATCTTTAATTTTTTAACGTTTAACGCCTTCAAGCTCTTTCTAACCTTCTTCTTCACGTTATTGAATCAAGGATGTCGAATTTAGCATCCCAAATTAGCTTAAAACTTTGGCCAAACTGCTTTCCGAAATTTGGGTGAAACTAAAAAGAACGAAAAATATCATATCGGATTTGACCATGCGATCGCATGGTACAGTCAAATTATGTTCTCCAAATCCTCTTTGATGTCACAATAATATAAAATGTCATTGTGAACCATTAATCAATTCATGTAACTCAACTTATATCTCTAATTGTGATGCGAGTATACAATGCTTTTATTGGTCCGTATTAAGTTCTTGAGTTATATTATTTATTTTAACGTAAGAAAAGATCACCCCATTGGATTACTGACTAAATAATTTCCTATTGTTTATTTTCATTTTGTTGATGCATGAAAAATTTTAAATCCTATTTGGGTACTAAACTTACCCAACATAATTTTATTACGAAAGTTACACCAAACTTTCGATTTCTTATCATGGAGTCACTTTAATGAACTCTTATCTTTGAAAACATATGAAACTTGCACATACCAAACGTAAATCCTACATAAAATAATTTCAGACGTCTAGTCAAAATAAAACTTGCATGTGGCAAATGATAATTGAATTTTAGGAATTTTATTTCCAAATTTGATTTTAATTCAACGTGTTCCAAAAGATGTTAATTATTTTTGTAGAATCGTTAAAATAGGTTCAACGGTTTTTAGTCTTGATCGTTCGGAAGAGCCTTTTTCTCGATCAGAATAGTGGAATGAAAGACGCTACAAGAAAAAGAGACTTTAATAGTTGTAATTTGTCCTTGGCGATTTTATCCAACTTAACCTGTGATGATGTGTGTTGGCCCTGTACAACCATTATAATCCGCGAAATTATTTAACATAGAATTATTGTTCCAACGTACATTTCCATTGAGTTTCAAAAAATGAGTTAAATATAGTGACTAACAAGATAAGAAATTAAAAGTTTGGCTCTTAAGAAAATTAAGCTAAGTGACCAAAACATTAAAAATATCTCACCCAAAAAAAATTGATCAACAAAATCAAACACGGTCTTATGTAAAACTTTTTCGAACTAAATAAAAAACCGAAAGAAGGCATAAGCCTATTCAATCCTATTCAGTAAAACAGTGTTCTTTTTCTATATATACGAGGAAAATGCGTTTTTATTTATTTTTTTTTTAGTAGAAAGTGAGAAGAATAAGAAAGAGAAGAAATAAGTCGATTTTACAAATAGGTGCAAAAAAGTCTCGCAATTACAACGATTGGTAATAAAGAGGCGCTCTCAATTTAATCAACCTATGAAAATTGTTGGTCGAGATAAGTGAATCAGACAAAGTCAAACATAACATCTATACTAAAGTGACAATCAAAAAGTGACGAATAAAGCAATATTTGGTGGAAGCATTAACTTCTTTTTTATCAAATTCAGAAGAATAATTATATCTTACCATTAGTGTTAGAGCACTAGTTTAGGTGGTTCTAGTATATGTTCAATTAGGAGGGTGTTTGGTGTAATTAAAATTAGATTTTTTAGCGGATTATGATAGAAATTTTTGAAATGTGCAATTGAAAAGTTATGGGATACACGAATTATATGGTTAATATTGATCGTTTGATTTTAACTTAAATTAAGATCAAATTTTAATCCGTACCAAATGAGCTGTAAATGAATCACGTGATAT